GTGTGTGTGTGTGTTTGTTTGTGTGTGTGTACGTGTGTATGTATGTGTATGTGTGTGTATGTGTACATGTGTGTGTGTGTGTGCACGTGTGTATGTATGTGTATGTGTGTGTATGTGTGTGTGTGTGCGTGTGTGTGTGTGTGTGTGTGTGTGTGTGTGTGTGTGTGTGTGTGTGTGTCCATGCACTCGCGCGTGTGTGTGTTTGTGAGTACATGGTCAAACACCCAACCAATGAGCCAGGATCTGGGCAATACAGATAATATTATCTTACCTTATCCTGTCGTAATATATCTTATTTTATCTCAGCGTAGAAAGAGTTAAACCCAGGAGGAATCACACCTGGCCCTACGTGTGTGCGGGTGGGAGTGATGGTAAACAGCGTGAATTATTGACGGGCTGACGGGGGAGACATTTTCGTAGGGTTACTGGACACTTATGCAACGGCGCTCCACGCCTGGGACTGAGCATGTGAGTGCACGTGACCTACACTCGTGCAGATCTGCATGTTCGTGAGCGGATGGAGCTGTTTAAATATGTTTTTGTTTTTAAAAAAAAAGATGTAGGTGAAGACTAAAGGGGGAAAAACAAATGTAGTCACAAATTGAAAATCGTGAGGGTACCAATTTTTAACGCTTGTTGACTCATAACTATATTTCTGTTCAACTGTTGGTTGATTATTGTTGTTAGATTTCCCATTCAACAACACTTCACAATAAACGACCAGTCAAACAAATAGGAAGTTATGAGTCCACAAGCTTTTAAAACTGGCACCCTCACAATTTCCAGTATGTGACTATCGTAGTTTTTCCCATGTGCTCTTCAGGTGTGTTTACGATCATATCGACGCAATTTATACTATTTAATTTAGGAGGCGGGTATCCGACTGCTGCCTGCTAGGGCGGCCAACCCAGGCTGAGAGGGATGCAACTTACACAACGGTGCCCTCCTTCTGAGACAGAGCACGTACGTGAGTGCACGTGACCTAGACTCGTCAGATCTGCCTGCATTTCTGTGAGCGGCTCGGTTGGGTTTTTTGTTTTGTTTAGTTTTTGTTTAGTTTTTTGTTTGTTTGTTTGCTTGTAAGTTTGCTTTTTGTTTGTTGGTTTATTTGTTTGTTAGTTTGTTTGTTAACTTTGTTTCTTGTTTTGTTTTTGTTTGCTGGTTGT